CATTTCGATGCTCCTCTTGACAGCCCTTTTTGTCCTCTCCAATGGACCAGGATGACCTGGACGCTGCTCAGTTGTTTCTTTGCCATGTTTCCTGAACTGCACGATTATTTTGTTGACTGTCGAAAGTGGGATTCCCAAATTCTGCGAAATTTGCCACTGACTTATTCCACCATCTGCTTTACCAAATATCCTTCCTCTAACAAAATCTGCCAATTTGAGAGAACATTGAGTTCTAGGCATGTTGTAGCACAAGATAATTAGTGTGTGTGGACCATTTTCATTTATATAGTGCTCTGTGAACACAAATTAGTTACCATAAATCAGTTAAATGATGAAAAATTAGGTGTCTATTTACTTGTGACCACTCAGTGTATAATAAATAGTAAACTTGTTGAGAGAAACTGATACAAAGATACTGAAAAAAAAAAACTTCAAAAGAGCACAAAAACATCACAATACAAGCACTGCCAAATGAGAAGTGATAGGTTGGTAGAAGTGAACAGAAGGAGTAAAATACATCAGGAGAGTGTGTTACACTTCTATTGGTGGAGGGTTGTCATATAATGATTTACATGCTAGATGCAGTTGAACCATTTGATTGTAAGGTATATGGGAGCCTATGGTTTGTGGCATGCAAAAAATAATTTTTGCATATACAGGACAACACTGAACGAGAATAGCCATTTATGTTGGAAGGGGTAACGTACCGTATCGGAATCCCTACATACAAACAATGAGGCACTTAAGTGCCTACTTAAAATCTACCACACACACAATACATATGCACATACACAAACACACACATATACAGACAGAAGCATTTAAGTACATACTTAAAACTTGTAACATATTTACTTATACTGGCTGAAAACAAAGGCAAATATGTTCATTTTATTCTAGCCTGAATGAAAAGTTTCCAAATTTAAAATAATTCCAACCATGAAATAAATAGACAGACCTTTCTTATGTAGTCCTTTTCTTTCATACAAAATAATAAGTTCACTGTACTTGTGACTTTTCTTTAAAGCTCTCTCCGACTCTTCCACATGACAGTGATTATCATTCAATCGAAGAAGAGAGGCAACTAGCGCATCATTGGTCTAAGAACAAAACAGATGTTTCTCATTTGGAAAACAAGAATTATTATTTCTATACTTGTTTGTCTAAATAGTAATGATAAACACATTTCTAAAGCTATTTTAGCTCAACACACTTTACTAAAAATGTATTTACACAATGAATTAAAAGAAAGAATGAAAAATTCAGAAGTTTTGGAATAATGAAACATAAGATAGAATAAAAAAATTGTAAAAGAGATCTTAGTTTTTTCTCATTAACTCTCTCAACATGTGGTTGGTCGAATTGACCGACCTCGTAACCACTTAGTATTCATTATAGTTTTCACACTATAACTGTTAATACAGTACATGTATCTTCACAAGATCTGACAGACTTCTAGTAAACATTACATGCCATTTGAACATAAATAATCAGCTATTTTAATGAAGTATTTTTACAAAAGATTTGTCTGTTAATATATCAAAGTCTTTTGATATATATATATATATATATAAATACTTTTCTTTGTCTCAAAAATTTCAAATTTCATTTGTGTAACCTCCTAAAGAAGTATAAAACTTCATATTTTATCTGTTATTACCTCTACTGTAGCAATATATTTGATTTTCAGCCAGTAGACAAATCATCAAAGTGTAACAAAAACTTATAAAATCAGAAATAAAATGAACAGCTGTGCCCTTTTTTCTATATTATTGGTTATGAATTTTTAAAGTACTTCTCTTGAAAGTTTGAAATACTAAACATTTCACATTTATTTTCTGTGTTCATTTTACTATCAATGAATGAAGTAGAAATACACTGAAAATAAAGCTACAAATCACTGCTTGTGTCATTAGACTGCTTACGTGACACCATAATATGAAACTCTCATCAAGAGCAACAAAGCATGGGTGAAGAAATGAGCCGACTTGATCCCTACTCCAAGAACACAATGTGGAATTTATTAACTTATGTATCTTACAGCGTTTAAAAGGAAAATTCTACAGAATAATAATACTGCACTTTAAATCTGTGAACATGTTTATTATATGGTTTGGAGCCAATCCAATAAACATCACAAGTGTTTGAGTATTGGTCATACTTCTGGTATGTTTGGGATTTAGCATTATACCATACAGGCATACAAAGATATTATTTGTGTACATAGTTATAAAATCCTTTTCCCTTTCAAACTTATTCATCAACCAATAAATACTATTTGTTCACAAATGCATAAATTTTAGTTATTTTTATTAAACCCAGAATAATAAATAAAGAAAACTTTGAAAAACAATGATTTCAAGTACTTACAGTGTTACGAAATTTTGTGCTCATTCATATACATGCTAAGCCTCACCATAAGCCTTGTTTATTCTTCTGAGTGGAGGGTGAAGATATATAAATTTTTGTAGTCTTCAAGTATAAATTTTAGAAGACAAAATAATTATCAATGTACTATATTAATGCACACAAAACCCCTGTAATTTATCTGGGTTTCTAAACAAGCTATATATAACTTCAAAAAATTTCATCTGTTCAGAGCAACAACTTAAGCCATCACACTTCAACAGTTATGGTGAAATTTACAAACAACTGTCAGACTTACGTACACAGGAAACTGATATTTCTCTTGGTAGCAAACACTTAGTTAAAAGAAGTAGGTGGACTGGGGCTAGACAAAAGGTTTCAAAATAATGGGAGGAGCCACCCTACTAGATTGACTATATTGAAATCTCAGCAAATTAAAGAACTAACAAACTAACAGGGCAGTAATTTAGGTTTTATATCAAACAAGCCCAAAATGGGCTTGAGAGACAACCGGGGGAACTCAGAAACTGTTGTTTCTCTTCAGCAAATTAAAGAGGTGGGAGGTTCTTATTTTATATTCTAGTTTGTCAATATCTCAAAATCGAGTTTCAGTTTCTAATTCATTAACCATTATACACGTTGAATGGTAGGTGTAATAAAACATAAACTGAGCAATAATACAATGAGGTGCTGTGTGACAAACAAAAATTGACATTTAGCATTTTTTTTTTGTTTCCTTTTAAATTAAGAAATTAAAATTTATATAATATTAAAATTTGAATTATAAACTGCATTTTTGATGCCAATTCCATTAACATAAGTAAAGTTATTAAATAAAATTTTGAAAATAACTAAAATGTTATGACATGCACTCTTTAACCTGCCTGCAGTGAAAGGATTAACAATTTTACCTCATAACACCCTCCATGTGATGTTTTATTCACTTATTTCTAGTGTGCATTGACAGCACATCTGTTATTTATCCCTCCAGAATCTCAAAAAGCACTTTCTTCCATTAACTAAACACCTAATGTTAGAGTCATAAAACCTTTGAATGATTTTTCTTTTTATTAGGCTTATGCTTAGATATTTGTTTAGAAACTACACAAACTCTGCATAGGTTGACTACATTTACAATAACTTTACTTAATTCTGAAATTCCAGTCACATCTATTTATATACACACACATCAAACAATGAACAATAAGAAAATTTTCATATGATTCATCTACTAAATCTTACCTCCAAGTAACACTTCAAAAGTGTTGTGTCAATGATCTGATGAAGTTGCCTCTTCGAAAGCATGGTTTTACTACCTTGAATGATACCAATATTTGGAAAGTACTTGTCTCCAACTAACAAATGACGTACCTGTTTAGATTATAAAAATTTTTCTTGCTAGGATACAAAAAAAAATTTAATTTTTTAGTTTTGTCCAAAAACGTTTTAGGGCAAAGCTCTATAGCTTGAGAGTAAAATTTCTTTGCAATTTCTATTTTATCGAGGAGAGGTGTCATAATTCGTAAAGAATAGTTTTTGTTAACTTTGTGTCCTGTTCTCTACAAAGATGAAACTGGACTGACAAAAATGTGCACTGAATAAAGGAAAGTATTTTCAATAAGGATCTAAAATATTCTCTCAAAACAGAAAAAAAGGTAAATGTAAAGAAACTTCTCTAGTTATAGAGCCTTGCTCTAAAAAATTTTCTTGGACAGAAAATACTGTGAAATAAAGACAAAATTGTTTTATTTCTCTTGTTATATTTACAAGATCATTTCAAGTTATACCATTTTTTTACACACAAAACTCATCAAAAAAAGTATAAATACTATAATCCTTCTTAAATACTGTACCATTTGGCCAGAATTACATATAAAACTATAGCATCTTATCACACACAGAAAAACCTTTCGTTTATTTTCAGTAGTTGAATTCAAAACCTGTAACTGTATTGTCATTTAAGTTCGTCAAATAGTTGGTCATCTATAACAGAATTTTACAATAATAATTGTTCATGTTTTAAACAAAGAACAAAATTAAAAGTTCACAAATCATATAGTGCATTATCCAAAGTTTGCAATAACTGTGATCTTAATTCTGATCATTACCTTGCCACTCCAGCCAGAAGCAAGATGCTACAAACACTGAACAACTAGAAGGTGATACAATTCTATAAATACTCATTTCTAAGCACACATACACGTGTATACTTTCCTTAGGAGTCTGGGGCAATATATTTTTCTATCACTAGAAATTTCCATCAGAATAAAATATTTTTGCCAATATTGCTCTTGCAAAGGTACTGTTTTTATATCACAAGGAAATGAAGTCAGTAAAAATAAATTTAATGCAATATTTAATAAAAACTTTAATGAATTATATGTTACTAAAGGCAATTTAGTAGCAGAATTTAACAATATGAATAAAACCTTGAATTATGTTAATTAGTGGGAACTAGTTGGAAAATTGTTTCTGTATTTATGATCCACATTTGTCTTTTAATAACATTTTATTAACATAAGAACCTAAATCTGTCATGAACAAGTTAACATATAACAAAAACTCTATTAAGTACATTATATTAAGACAATATTATCAAAATAAACAAAGCCCTACTAGCCTCAACAATTTAAAATGTAACAAGGAAAACCTATTCAGTACCATTACATTACCTTAAGACAAGATTATCAGACTGAAAAAAGTCAAAGATTATCTGACTAAACACAACCCTATTGTCCAGAAAAAGGTAAAGGTAACAAATAGCTTATTTAAAAAAAAAAAAAAGCGATTCAACAATAAGCATGATTTTGTTGTCCACCATTCCTTTTCCAATATTTAACAGGTACCTATGCAAAATGGTCAGAGATCTCAAAAGCATGTTTGACATAAGGAAGAATTTAAAAGTATTTTCACTGATGCTTTTCTCAGTTTTACACTATTCACATTTCAGGCAGTTTATTATAAAAATTGCAACTTAAAAGATATAGCTGCTAGCACCCAGAACAATTCTCATCAGTTAAATTACATAGTTCACAACCTAAAAGACATTGGTACTAGCTTCCAGAACAATTCCCAGCAGTTTATTATACATTTCACAACACAAATTGTATAGTTGTCAGAATCCATATCAATCCCCAGCATTTTATTACACAGTTCATAACCTAAAAGGTATAGTTAATAAAATTTGGAACAATTCCAACAGTTAATTATAAAAATTGCAACTTTAAAGATATAACTGTTATGACCCAGAACAATTTACATCAAATTGTTATATATTTCACAACTTAAAAGGTATAGTTGCTAGTATCCACAACAATTAATACTATTTTTATATAGTTCACAACCCACAAAGTATAAATGTTAGCATACACAAGAATTACTACCAGTGTGTTACACAGTTTACAATATAAAAGGTAAAGACAGTAACATTTAGAACAATTTCCAGCAGTTTATTACATGAATAACAACCTAAAAAGTAGTTATTAATCAGAATAATCCATAACAATATGTTATATAGTTCACACCTGAAAAGATATAGATGCTAGCATGCAGAAAGCTCCCCAACAGTTTGTTATATAGTTCAATTTACAATTGTTGTTAACATCCATAACATTCCCCAGCATTTTATAATATAATTCACAACTCATAGAGTATAGATGTTAGCACCCAGGACAATTCCCAGCACTGTATTATACAGTACCAACTCAAAATGTATAGATAAACATCCAGAACAGTTCAAGATTCTATTATGCAGTTCACAAACCTAAAAGGTACAGATGGTAGCACCCAGAACAATACCCAGCATTTTATTACAGAGTCCACTACTCCAAATGTAGAGATGCTAATATCCTGTACAGTTACCAGCAGATTAGCGTATAGTTCACAACTCAAAAGATAAAGTTGCTAGCACCCAGAACAATTGGAACAGTTTATTATATAAATCACAACTTAAAAACGTTCATTTTCTAGCATGCAGAACAATCCATAACAGTTTATTACATATCTCACACCTCAAAAGGTACAGATGTCAGCATCCAGAACAGTTCAAGATTTTATTACATTGTTCACAACCTAAAATTCATAAATGCTAGCACTCCACCAAGAATGATTCACAGCAATTATATACTTCACAACTCAAAATGTATAATTGTTAGCATCCATAACAATACCAGCATTTTACTATACAAGTCACAATCTAAAAGGTATCGATATTAGCACCCAGAACAGTTCCCAGTAGTTTATTATACAGTTCAAAACACAACATATATAGTCCTTATTGTCTATAACAACCCCTAGAATTTCATTATATTATTCACACTCTTAGATATAGATGTTAGCATCACACCCAGAACAATCCACAGCAATATATTATTAGTTCACAACTCAAAAAGCATAAATTTCAGTACCAAGAACATTTTCCAGCAATCCATTATACAGTACACAATTCAAACGATATATATTACTAGCACCCAGAACAATTCCCAGCATTTTACAACACATAGTTCATCACACAAAATGTATAGTTGTTAGCTTGCATAACAATCAGCAGCATAATATAATATAGATCACAACTTAAAAGGTACAGATGGTAGCACCCAGAACAATTCCCAGCATTTTACAACACATAGTTCATCACACAAAATGTATAGTTGTTAGCTTGCATAACAATCAGCAGCATTATATAATATAGATCACAACTTAAAAGGTACAGATGGTAGCACCCAGAACATTTCCCAGCATTTTACAATACATAGTTCATCACACAAAATGTATAGTTATTAGCTTGCATAACAATCAGCAGCATTATATAATATAGTTCACAACTTAAAAGGTACAGATGGTAGCACCCAGAACATTTCCCAGCATTTTTTTTAAACAGTTCCAACTCCAAATATATAGTTGCTAGCACACAGTACAATCCACGGATAGAACCCAAAACAATTCCCAGCATCTTATTAAGAGGTCTATAACTCAAAAAGTATAAATACTACCACCAAAAACATTTCCTAGAGGCAAAATGTATAATTCTAACACGCAGAAAAATTTATATTTCACAACCTAAAACTCATATGAAGCATTTGTGTAATTTTGAGGCACTTTACGCTATTTTCAAATGCTTCAAGAATTAAGAAATATAACTTTATAAAATTACATGTATGATACACATACATGTAATATGAAGAAAAGTAGTACACACTATAATGAAAGCACAAGTGAAGTTACATAGTGACACTTGACCAAGAAAGGAAATGTACATGTCTAATATAAACTAAGACATATTCCAAGCTTTAATGTAAACCAGTGGTTCATCTTATCTACATTAGCAGTTGCAATTTTAGCAAAGAGAAAGCTATGAGAAGGTTTATGTTAACTTTGTTAAAGACAGGAAACAAATTCTTTTAAAAGACTTGGAAAGGAAACCAGAGACTCTTGGCAGAATTTTGATTGGAAGGAAGATGAGGAGAAATACATGCAAACAGGTAGCCAATTTACAACTGTTGCCTATAACCAATTAATATTGTTTTGTTTGATAAAATAGTGAACATCAACCATTCAGAAAAAGGATGTATTTATAAGACCATCATGTAGAGCTAACTGAATGCTTATAGTTTTAGTCAAAAAGTCAGTCTCCTGGCTCATTACAAGATGTTGCCAAACTTGCTACTTGAAGTGAAAAAGATGTTAGCTGACCCAATAGTGCCGAAACCCAGAAACTCTTTGAAGATGCCTGTCTTAAAAGAAACTACAAATGTCTATTGTTCAAGCTCCATGTACCGTATAAGTAACTATTGCTATCTCTCTTAATCAAATAGCATAGTTACGAAATGAATATAAATTGTTACTATGAAGGAAGGAAGGAAAATTAAACAGTGTCTGAGCATATATCAATTGATGTTATAATTGATAATTTATTTGTTGTAGTAAGGTATTTAATGAGTATTATTGTAAGTTTAATCGAAAAACAGTTACCTGCTCAGGCTGAAGAATTTAGTAATTTGAACAGTGAGGTTTTTCAAGATATCTTTGGTAATTTCAATGTAGATGAGTATCTTAATATATTGAATTAAAGTGTTATTATTATTTTGCGTCTCAGTCTTAGAATCAATTTATAGTCTAACTATAAATTTCCTCAAGTACACTCCACTCATGACTATATACCTGGATTCAAAAGAAATCCATTTGTAACTGGATTTAAGTCAAACTCCAATGATTAGCCTACACAGCTTCCTGTTATACATAATTGTTAGTACGCTGAACAATTCCAGTTATTTATATAATTCAAAACTTAAAATGTGTGCCAAATCGGGCTATCTGCTGTGTCTGCAAAGGTAAATTAAACCCCTGATTTTAGCATTGTAAATCCTTAGATTTACCACTGTGTCAACAGGATACAACTCAAAATGTACAGATGCTAACATCTAGAACAATTACTAGCATTTTATTATATATTGCACATTCAAGAGTTACAATTCCTAGCACTAAGAACAATTATCTGCATTTTATCATATAGTTCACAACCTAAAAGGTATAGCTGCTAGCATCCAGAACACAATTCCCTACATTACATCTTGCAAAACTCAAAAATCATAGATGTTACCATCTAGAGTAATTTTAAGCATTTTATTATACAATTCAGAACTCAATAAATAAAGCTGCTATTACTCCACCCAGAACAATTCAAAGCAGTTTATTATATTTCACAACTAAAAAGGTATAGTTCCTAGCACCCCACAAAGAAATATCTATAGAAATTTATTATAAAGTTCAGAATTCAAAAGATATAGTTGCTAGCATTTACCCAGGACAATGTACAGCATTTTATTATATAGGTATAGATGCTAGCTCCCAGAACAATCTCCATAGCAGTTTATTATAAAGTCCACAATTTTAAGGGTATAGTTTTAGCATCCAGAACAAATTTTGCTTTAATAGTTTCTTCAAGATAGAAACATCTACAAAAACTAAAGATAGTCAATCACATGCTAGTCAAAAGGATGGAATTAAAACTATCACTTACAGATACCAAAGATAAACAATCAAACATTAGACATTACTATCACCTACAGATACTGAAGATCGGCAATGAAACACTGGTTAAAAAGATTAACCAGGTAAACTAAAACTAAAAACAAATTAAATATTGAAACAATAAAATAATGTTTTAACTCCATTTGGTAACAGTGTATTAATTACATTTTGTATATTTTTACATTCTATCACAAGTAACACCTGGTAAGAAACATAAAAAACAATTCTGTCCAAAAGAACCTTAATTAATAATTTTACATGAAGCACATACTGCTGTCTTTCTGATGCCCTTTCAATGCAGAGAAGACAAGAAACTTACAAAACCACTGTTCATACTGCACTAATACTAGTGGATAATTTGAATAATAATGTTAAAAAAAAACATCATCCACATGCATCAAAGACATGAGAAAATATGATATGCTGATAACTTTTAAATAAAAAAAGTTCTATTATTAGTTCTAAAGCAAAATGTGATGTTTGTGAAAGAAAAAAATGAACTTCTTTTTTTTTTTTTATTGTGATTAAACTTAACTAACAAAAAGATATGTAAACCTGCAGAAGGTATTCTGTTAGAGCAAATAAACCATTTTCCAGATCATTGCCACGCAACTCTGGTAAGGCATTTGGATATTCCAAGGTGCTTCGAAAGTACTCAGGTAACAGATCAGGAAACAAACCAATCACATGAGATGGATCTATAGAAAGAAAAAAAAGTATTTCTGTTTCCTAACTATGTGTATTTAAAAAAAAGTATTGCACATGGCAATCAAATTACAGAAGCAAATAAAAATTATGTAACAAAAATACCTAAGCAGGTGTGAAAAAAAAAAGATTACATAAATAATAGTAACAAAACACTAACACTTCAATGCTTGATGTAAAAAAAAACAACAAATGACATCCTACCTGTTCCAAGTTTCAAAAAGATATCCATTGATTCCTTAAATTCTCTATTGCAAAACAGATCAAAAGCATACAAATTCTGAATGTACTGAACACACTGCTGTTTTTCTTCCTCTTCATCATCTGTCATCCCCTGTACGTATAACAAACTTTATGAATGCTTGTCCAAATCAAGGTGTATGAAATAATTTTTCTCTTTAAATAAGTAGTCATTTATCATATATGAAGTAATATTATGTACTACACCATGAGCAACAGGATACAGCAGTCATGTTAATCCATTATGTGTATCATAACATTAAGTACATGTAAATACCAGAGGACATATATATTAGGGCAGTACACATATATAAGGTAAAAAAGGAAAAGGAACAAATGAGAGTTCCTAATGCATCTTTTCATTCCTTATATGAAAACAGACCCCAGACTGAACTTTCAACTAAATACATCAATATTTAAGGGTGGTGCAAATTTGAAGAAATTTGTCACAAGTTTACTTCTCCAGTTAATTTTCTTAATTACCCTTTGTTTATCAATTGACAAACAATAATACTGTTGCATGATCTCATAAGTTTGTTATAATATTATGTACTTTATTTCATAATTCAATTTAAGCAGTTCACATGCAGTTTCTAGATTTAAAAGGTAGCAATCCAGCATCATGCCAGATGATGTTACAGTTTTTCAATTGTTGATTGGTTGTGGTCTTAAGGCGTGATGTTTCCAGGCGTAACAGTTTTAGGCTTTGAATGACACATTTCTCTCCAGACAACTGAGCTGTGTAGATATTCCTCATTTTGTAAAAGTTAGTCCCTCTCTCCGTTACCATAATTTTAAAAAATTATGCATGGTGTTAGGTGTTCTATTTGTACCATTTCAGTAAAGAGATTTATTATAAGTAATTATTGTTTAGAATTCTATAAACTGGATGTGATTCATCAAGTATATTGATATTAAATTAACTATTAAATTAAAGTTATTTTTTAATTAACACTGGCATATCCCCAAATCAGTTTTAAAATAACCTAGAATTTTTGATATCATGAGCACTGGGTAGAGGCTTTAGTTATTAAGCACGAAGCCATAATAATATGCAGTCAGAGCAAGGATTAATAACTCCTTTAAGCTCTACCTTTGTTTACGTCCTTAGGTCATGGCGACTCTGAAGACGAGAAGCACTTCTGATGCTTGGTTAGTGGGGAATCTAATCTTTATCTCATGTGCTCGAGACCTTTTTTTAAAGTGTTTGTTTCACCATGTAGAACAGAAGAAGACATTCTTAGAAAGCTATGATCTGGCTGTGGAAGTAGCTTTTGTTTATTGGCAAAAAGCCAGGACACCGACAATAACTCACGACTATGCAGTATTAAAGCTAGAAAAGTTGATGGCAGAGTATAAAGTCCTGAAAAAGAGCAAGAACCAGCCACAAAAAGTTTACTGCATGAAGGAGAACACCTGTTGCAGAGATTTAAATAAATTATTCAACATTTCTCACACAAAGACAAAGTTAAAAATGAATAAAATAACAATTTCTAGATATGCAGAAAGAAGATTTAAGTAGTTCAAGCTTTGGAAGTGTTGACAAGCTCCTCATTCAGAAAGAGATTAGGAAGAGGAAACAGGACTTAAAAGAAAAATGCATGGATAGAAAAAACATCAGAACAGGATGCTTCTGCACTAATTTTGATTTAATCAATTAGTTCTGTCTGGTCCTCTGGATCTGGCTCAGACACAACTGCTGACAAAGATTTAGCATTCAAGCCACCCAACACATCTGGCACCCAAAGTCCTTGTCTCACCAAGCAGTGTAGAAAAGTTCTGTCCTCAGAAGTATTTTGTCCTTAGATCAAATGAACATGAAGGACAGAAAGGCAATATTTGTCCTCAGTGCTGCTGTTCAATCTCTTGGACACAATTTGAAGGATGTTGAACTCCCAAGAAGTTCTGTCAAATGCACTTGCCATACAAATCAGGAAGATATTGCTAAAAGAGATCAAGAAACTTTATCTCCATATCCTTCCCTTGTATTTCATTGGGATGTAAAGCTTCCTGACATCATTCATGGGTTAGAGAAGATTGATCAGATTGCTATTGCTGTGACTGGAGCTGGAGAAGAGAAGCTCCTGGGAGTGTCAAGAATCTCCCATAACACTTGGGAAGCAATGAGATATCACTTGAGGAATTTATTTCGATACAACTACATCAAACATGGTCTCAAGAGTGGTGCTTATGTCTTGATCAAACAAGCTCTGAAAAGAAATCTTGTTTGGATTGCCTTTTGACACTATATATTTAAAATTATGCTTTCAATAGCATTTGCCAGGACTTTTAGTCCATCGAGTGGACCAGAAATCGGTCTGTTTACGAGATTCCAAGCACAATGAGCATCACTTAACAAATCTCAGTTCAGGGCTGCCAATGATGATGAAGATATTCACCTTCTCTTTATCAGCACAAGGAAACAGGAAAGGGACAATGCAATACTTTACTTAAATAAGATGTTACAAATGAAATCATATCCCAGAGATGATTATGAAGAACTTTTGAAGTTTTCACTTATGTTTCTAAGAGAAAAGGCTCCCTCTGAAGTGATGTTCAGAACTCCTGGAACATATCATCATGCATACTGGATGGCTAAAGCCATATATACTATCAAAATATTTCTCTTTCGAGAACAGTTCAAGCTGACTGACCAAAAAATCAAGGGCTTGACACAAGCATGTCTTTTTAATAGCCATGGTCTACATTCCCTTCTGGAATAAAGCTCCAATAGCAACAGCTGCACCCTTCAATGACCTCAGCATGTCGTTAAAGTTATTTGCATATCCAGATTGTTCAGTTTCCAATGCCTAAATGGCAGGCTTCAAATGGAATTTATGGTATTTATCAGAAGACTTAGTTGGTTTGGATCTGATTGACGACAGAGTTCAGATAATTACTACATGTAAACAAGAAATGTTGAAGAATCTCAATATTCCAGAGAAGAAATAAAACTTTCATGGGTAGGAATAGCTTTAACATCAAGGCTCCTGTGCAATCCTATGTAATAAAGGATCTTAACACAATCAACATTTTAAAATTAAATGGGAAAGAGAAAGCATAGGCATTCCTGGAGAAAGACCCAGAAGACTGGAAAGGGATTCCAGAATAATAAGAATTGCAGAAGGCAACTGATGGGTTGAAAGTTGAATTACTGTGCAGAGAGAGAAGTATTGCTCTGATTCAAACATTTATCTTTTCTATCACTAAGGATAAAGATCAAAAGCAATACTTTCTCTGCATAGTTAAACTACACTAAAAGACATTTCCAATCCCCAGAAAGGAAACTTGATGTCATAAGTGGTATGATAAATTTTTGTATTACTATTATTATAGTTACATGCTATTCAGATATTGTTGGATATACAAGACTGTTTAGTAGAAAGAGTTGTTTAGTTCATTTGGTGATATAATATTCAATAAATATTTAGTTTTCAAAACAATAGTGTTAAAGTTAATTAATTTAAGGGCAATAGTTGTAACAAATTTCATTACATAACTCAGTAAGAATCTTACGTTGTGTGTGTGTAGTTAAATCATCGTAGTATTGTTACATCATAGTATCTTGTAGTTTGTGGAAAGTTCAAGACCTCAGTTGGATAATGTGCAGATAGAAAAAGTTAGTTACTGAAAGAAAATGTGAAGTTAGTCAGCATGTGAGCAATTAACCATAACGCGCAATTTTTATAGTGTGTTTCCCAGCTGTATTGTAGCAACAGAGATAGGAAGGATAGATAATTTGTCTTGTCAATTGGATTCTAAAGTAACTGAACCAGCCTGTATGGATTTTTAATGAAAAAAAAAAGAACAAAAAAAAAGGTAGTCAGAAAAAGTTAGTGAAAGTGAAGTTAGACTGCGTGATTGTTACTTTAGCTGTAATGGGTGATATTTTAAAGTGAGTTTCACAGTTTAATAGAGATAAGAAGAATAATTTGTCTTATCAATAGGTGTTCTAAGTTAATTGAACCCATCTGTGTGGACTTTGACGAAAAGGAGACAATTATTTAAAGTTTGAGATACAACTGTGGTAACCCACAGGATAACATAAGAGAATTATTTACTGATACTATTGTGACAAGAGTAGAGAAAAATAATTCCTCTTGTCAATTGGATTCTAAAGTAATTGAATCAGCCTGTGCGGACTTTTGACAAGAAAACAGAATTATTTAGTTTTAGATATAATTGTGTTATCCTATAGTGTAAAGAATTCTTTTTTACATACATTTGATTCATTTTGAATATTTTTTTTTGAAGCAAGTGGATTGTGTGCTGTCTGTTTATTGTTTCAATTTATCGCCAATAAGTCACAGACATCTACTGTAGAAGAATCCCGGCCCCTATTCACATGTCAAAACCTGACAGATATGCAGGACACTATTAAAAATTTCCTTCAGTTTGCTAGTGATTTTTTGCAGCTTTGTTTTTGTTACTGAATAAAAACCATAACAACATCTATTTCATTTGCCTTTCCTTATAATATATATAATAATAGTGAAGTGTTCAAGTTGAGACACCTCTAAATATGAAAAATCAATCCAGATTATTATCATTACTATTATTTCCATTCCAATATTGGTAGTGGAATATAGGCAAATATTATGTAAAATAATTTTTCATTTTTATATCTTTGGACCACCCTAATATACAGGCTGTGTGAATCATAAACTTGTGTACCTATAAGTACCAGTGGCCATAGCCAGTTCCAAGCCCAGTTCAAAAAAGAGGAGGGTGGCCATCAGGTTTTGCAACCTCAGCATACAAAACTTGTAAAACAAATATGAAGAAGAATCACTTGGTATGCCATTTAGCTAGGGTATCCCCCACAGGTGACTCACACTGCTATTCCTCTGGGTGGTGTGAAAGTTGACAAGGAGTAGCACAGGACCAGCAAAGGCAGCTAAAGAAGAGATAAGATTCTACATATATTAGCATGGAATGTCAGCATGATGACTGGGAGAAACACTAGAAAGAAGATGAGTAAAGATTGCGTGTGTTCAAGAGACCAAGTGAAGAGGATAGAGTACAAAAGAAATTGGTACAGGTTACAAGCTGTTCTACTCAGGAGGGTCATAATAAAGGAATGAAGTTGGAATTGTGTTAGATACAGAATTCAAGATGAAAATGGTTGAACTAGAGAGAACATCAGACCAACTCATGCATGTAAAGGTGAAAACTCAGGAAGAGCTGCTGAACAGTGACAGGTCATGCTTCATATATAGAATGCCCTGATAAGGAGGACTTTGAAAAGAAACTACATAACATAATTATAGTGATACCAGATAGTGAGGTGTTGATTGTAGGAGCAGACCTCAATGCACACGTAGGAGAAAAAGTGGATGGGTTTGAAGGTTCACATGGGGAGAGAGAGGTTATGAAATAAAAAAGATTGCTAGAAATGGCAGATAGTTCAGATTTGTTCTTCACAAACACCAGGTTCCACAAGAGAGAGAAAAAGGAACACTTCATTACATACAAGAGTAACTAGAACAAGGTGCAAATTGACTGCGTCCTAGTCCAAAGGAGGGGCAGAAAAAAGTTGTTGGATGTAAAGGTGATACCAGAAGAAGCAGTAGCACACCAACATAGAATGTAGATAATGGAGAATAAGAGAAACAATAAGAAGAAAAAGAGGAAAGGGACTGTAAATAATAAGGTGTGGAAATTGGACAAAAACCAAAAGAAGTACAGACAGGCAGTTAAAGAAAGATATAAGAGGTCCAAAAGACTGCCATAAATGTATAGTTACTGGAAAGAACTGAAGAAGTGCCTGATTCAAGTGTCAGAAAACATTTACAACAAAACAAAAAAACATGGATGGACCCAACCAGAAGGAAGCATGGTGGTGGAACAAAGAAGTACAGCAAACCCTCAAGGAAAGGAAAGAAACCTTTATAGAATGCCAGATAAAGAAGGAAGACTCTTCAAAACTAAAGTTAAAAGAGAAAAAAAAGAGAGCAAAAAAGAAGCCAAAGAATTTGGAAGCAGTGGCAAAGAATGAGACAATTAAAAAGCATGTGAAAATATGGAAAACCAAAAGAGGATAAGAAGGTATACAGAATAGCCAAGCAAAGGTAATTGACATAGTGACATCCCAGTGATCGAAGTAATTAAAGACAAAGAAGGGAAGCTCTTGATGAATGAAAAGGAATTAACCCTTTCCAGACAGGTCACAGGTGAAAGGCCATGTCATCGCGTTTCTTTCCTCACATTCAAAATTTTATTGAACTATTATTTCACGAATTTATGTCAATAAGTTTGGTATCAAACTGTACATTATAATTCAAATTTTAGTATTATACATTACTCAATTTCTTAATTTAAAAGTAAATATTAAAAAACACAGTTAAACAACAATTTTTGTGTGTCATGTGGTATACTGAATGCAGCACTGGTTCAAATTAAATGTTTGTGATGTCAAAATACTAAGTCTATAGTTTTGTATGAATTAGGAACTCAAATTAGTGATATTGACAAGTTAGAATATAAAATAAGAACTTCTTATATTTTCTGTTTGCTAAGATATTACTCATGTAATAAATCAAACACTGTAACACCCCACCACCTCTATCCATTTTTAGAAATTCTCCCTTACATATACTTACTTCTATATATGACATGAATAACCAATCAAAAGCTCAGAATGTTCCCCTAGTGGCTTTCTTAGCCATTTTAAATTATTAGGATGCCATCTCTTTCCTTAGAACCAAGATTTCAAGGAGGTAGGTTGTGTCTTTAGTCTGCTCGAAATTGCATATTTTTTAGAGTGAAATACAGCCTAGTTATTAAGCTTGATAAATTGTAGTGGAATTCTAGGGTACTGATATTGTAATTTAAAATTTAAAAATTTATCATTTATTCAATTATTGAACTATATATACAGAACCTAAAATCATATCCTCCACGTGCAAAATTTTAAAAGCAGCAACTGAGTACAAAGGTCGTAACTAGAAGAGATAATTATTTGCTTTACTTTATTTACTGTTCTATGTTTTAAGAAAAACATGATTAAGAACTTATTTCTAAATAGCAATAATCTATATACATGTATAATAATTAAATGTGACTGTATTTTACAAAATACTAGTCTAATAAAGCACAGCCAAGAGAGGTCACTTTGTAAAGACTAAAAGTCAGTTTATATTATTGGATATGGTAACGTGAGTGCATGTGTGCCGTATCATTGTAACTTCTGTATTGTTAGCCAGGCATGGCTGAAAGGTCAATATAATAAAAATAATAAATATATATAAATGTATAATGTTAAGAGATTTAAACTATTTAGTCAAAACATTTATGTTTTTGTGTTATAACTTGTTGTCATTCTAGAATGAGAAGCATAATTTATCTTTATTTCCTAATTTTTTATCAGTCAAATCAACTGAAAAATAACAGATAAAATATAAAGTTTTTATTAAGAAACGTTTGATAATTATCTAGACATTATAAAGATTTTGCATGTAAAATTTGAAAATTTTCTAATGCATAAAAGTATTTTTAATTGTAAAATGAAAATTACTTTGAATGTTGGATACATGCGAGAAAAAAAAAAGGCACGAGAAAAACATTGCTTTACAAACCTTAAGACTTAAGAAGGAAAATTGATATTTTACATATAAAAACATTGTAATGTTTACTGATAATCTTCCAGATTTTGTTAATATCCACTTACTAAATTAAAAGTTATAGCATGAAAACTATAACAAGCACAAATGGTTACAAAGTTGGTCCCAAGGACCGAGCCCATGCTGAAAGAGTTAAAAAAGAGATAGAAACAGTACAAGGAGGAACTATTTAACACCAAAAATGAGGCAGAAACTTTGAGAACACACCACCAATAGCAGGCCCAGCAGGGGGCAAAGAATCAATCAAAAAAGATGAAGAGAGGCAAGGTGGGAGGTCCAAAGATTTTCATTGAGATGGTCAAGGCACTAAGATATGATGTGTATGTTTGGACCCTGTTGAAGCACATCTAGAGGGAAAAGCAGATACCCACAAAATGCAAGAAGATGCTCTTGAGTGTGAAAACTATTGAGGAATAAAACTGTGAAACATCTTTTGACAGTTAAAGAAAAGGTACTGGAAAAGACAATAAGGGAAAACATAGACATCAACAAATACAGTCTGGATTTTGACCTGAGAGAAGACACAACTGACACAACCTTCACTCTGCAACAGTTGCAGGAGAAGTATCTTGAAGAAAACAAGAAGTAATACCATGCATTTTTAGATTTGGAGAAAGTGTATAACATGGTGCCATAAGAATTAATATTCTGGTGCCTCCAAAAGAGAGGAGTGCACCCCTCAAAAAAAAACCTAGTCAGACTAGTGAGAGCCACCTATGAAGGAGCATCAACAATCATGAAGACAGTATAAGGAGAAGAAAAAGTTTGAAGTAAACACTGGACTGCTGCCCACTATTTATCAGTCTTCCACATCTTAAGTAAGGAGTGTCACAAAGGACACCTGTGGGGGCTATTAACTGCCAAAGAAGTACTCTGGACATGACTACATTATGTACACACAAGAATCCTGGACATGTCTCAATACTGTATAGATTATTACCTTATGTACATAAGTACCAGAGGGCATCTACATACTGTGTAGATTATAACATTATTTACATACAAGTACCATATAACATGTCTACATCTTTGTTGATAACAAAATTATGTACATACAAGTACCAGTGGATATGTCTACAGATTACTCATTAAAATAATCTTTGAACCCCATTTCTGTTTAAGCTTTATGCAGCAATATACTGGCTATGGTTGTTTTCTCATGATTAAAACTACAAAAGCAGCAAGACATATTCACTATTCAATTACTAATTGTTTGGAATCTTTTATTCTGGAGAATGATAGTCTACACTAGAGTAAAGAAATTGAAAAGTTTTCAAAATACGAATTCTACAGAACTTAATTTAGGCAGGATATTATCAAAGTAAAGTTTCACTACAGCAAGGTTTTCAAAAAGTCTAGCAGTTTTACAATATAGTAATAAAAGTCACATGCATGAATACATACTGCTAGTTTCAGAGCCAGTTCAAACTGCTTTTGTTTCAACAGCATGGGTATTTGTAATTGTGGGGGCACCACCAGAAGAGTCCAGACATCACAACATGTTGCAATGTAGATATGACCCCTGTATAGAGATGAAAAAGCAATCACAATCAGTTTAAAAATTCCTTAGATTTTATGAAAGCTTTTTTTTTGTTTTGTAACACAAAATTAAACGAGTTATCTGCAGAATGCTCACCATGAGTATGAAACTCACATTTTTAGTGTTATAAGTATTCAAACTTACCTCTGAGCCACTGGTGGGTTCTTTGTGAAATTATGGGTCTTTTTCTCTTATAACATTATATGTTCTCATTTTTCTGTATCAGTGAACAGCTGCTACAAAATGTTATAGTTAAACCTTTTTGGTTCACTTTCCATCAAAAACTAGTTCGTAGAATTAGAGGTACCATAACTTGCTTTTAACAATTACTTCATACATTAATTCCACGGCAACAGAAATAAAATATTTAAAGTATGTGTTTACCATTTTTGTAATTTCATTTAAGCACTTCTCTATAAATTAGGATGAAAATTAAAACAGCCTAAACATCCTAGGATTTGTCTAAATTTCTGCATTGATCACTCACTATCATCATCACCATCTCATACAAAATCATCCCCAAGGGATTTTCTAATCATCATATAGTAGATGTTCAAGAAAGTATTTTGAATTTCTGCCATTTCCTTATTTAAATAATCATAAAATAATAAGCATTCTATTGTATACCTTTTTGATACTGACACAAGCTTTGCTTTTGCAGAATTCTTTAAAGGAAATTCTTGAACCAATTGTCGCGTTTCAATTGTACGAATTTCAATAACAGATGGCAACACACCAATGAGGTACGGTGGATCATGTGCTGTAAAGACAAATATTTACGAGTTTGAAAATAAAACTAAATTTTTGCTTTAAAAAAAAAAATTCCACATATGTACCCTTCAGTTTACAAAAAAGTATTTTATTACTCATAACAAACTTTAAAATTTCTGTTTGTTTTTGTTATATCCTTATAAATAATTACACACACAATCATACATGAAAATATACCTAAACATACAGGAACTTCAGACCAGTGAAGTGGAAATTTCAAGATTGGCTTTGCTTCAGAGTCTAAAAACAGAGTTTGGTCATCCCTACCCAGAGCCAGTTTATTGTCATGAAGAAGAGCAATTAATGGTTCCTGATTTCTACCAGTTGGAAAAATCTCATGCTGGTCCCCTGAAATCTATTTAAATCAATGGAATAAGCAGATGTTTAAATTCAAGCAGCACAAAAGCTATAAAGAACTTTAATTTACAACAAATTAATATGTTGTGTGTTAATTTACATTATCTGTTTTACAAGTATTTTACAATAAATTTACAAAAGTTATAAAGCCGCAATAGGTAAAAATGCACTAAACACATGCTGTGTTCTCACCAACCTAAACCTCTGACACGTCACAATGTTCCCATGACTGTCACAAAATTATGAAGAACTTTATAAATAAAAGAAATATACATACATGAAAAACTAGCATTATAACAAAAGAAAAAATAGAGCAAATTAAAATGTCAAATATAAGAAGGTTATTTCTGAGCACACTGTAATGTTTTAATGGTTCAATAGCATCTACCGTTTGAAGTGGTATTAATCACAAAATTTTCCATTTTCAGCATCATACCTTTATGAGTGTATATTCCGATTTAAATCCCAGACAGAGTGATTCCTGACACCAAACCATTGCCTTGGGAGTGTCTGGTACACAAAGGTCACCCTATCATACATAAGAATACAAACAACCTGATCTGTATTCAACATTATCACATACTACACAGTATTAAAAGACAAGCCATTGACTTTCAGAACTGAAGTTTGGGTTTATAGAAAATACAATATTTTTCATACATCACTTGAAGCTGATTTAGAGGAGTAATTTGCATTATTCAATATAGTATAGCTACAAATGGTTGTTCATGCAAGTACAAGCAAGCATTTCCTGGAAATAATCAATACAGGAATGTGACATTAAGTTTCATTGCTACAGTATTACATGGGAGGTAATACAAGCAAGTCTGTATTTTGCTGTTACAGTATCACATGGAAGGTAATACATGCAAGTCTGTATTTTGCTGTTACAGTATCACATGGAAGGTAATACATGCAAGTCTGTATTTTGCTGTTACAGTATCACATGGAAGGTAATACATGCAAGTCTGTATTTCACAATTACAGTATCACATGGAAGGTAATACATGCAAGTCTGTATTTCACTGTTACAGTATCACATGGAAGGTAATATATGCAAGTCTGTTTTCACTGTTACAGTATCACATGGAAGGTAATACATGCAAGTCTGTATTTTGCTGTTACAGTATCACATGGAAGGTAATACACGCAAGTCTGTATTTCGCTGTTACAGTATCACATGGAAGGTGCTACATGCAAGTCTGTATTTCACTGTTACAGTATCACATGGAAGGTAGACATGCAAGTCTGTATTTCACTGTTACAGTATCACATGGAAGGTACTACATGCAAGTCTGTATTTCACTGTTACAGTATCACATGGAAGGTACTACATGCAAGTCGGTATTTCACTGTTACAGTATCACATGGAAGGTACTACATGCAAGTCTGTATTTTGCTGTTACAATATCACATGGAAGGCAACATATGCAAAACTTTTAGGGCCTTTCCTAAACATGTTGAGGCCAGCAGTTTCACTTAGCTTAAAATATTCTCCATCAGCACAATATTAAAACCAGACAGGTCTTTAATAAATAAAATTGCTCAGCAGTGAGGAATATATATATATATTTTTTATCATAGCATTTGAACATGAAGAAAGATGCTGTATATTGTACATAAACATGAAGCATTAAGGAATTAAATTAATAAACACAGAAATTATATTTTTAAGTTATAAGAATAAAACAGCATTTAACAGTATTTTTCAAGATTATCAATTTCAGTTTGTGAACAGGACCTAATGACTGATGAACAAAATATTTTGACTGGTGCACTTAATATCCAATTACAATTGCTATAAAATGTATCAATGTACAGATCTGTATCTGTCGTCATATTGGAAAACTTCAGATATTAGTAAATCATGAGTCATGAATAAATAATTTTATTTACAGAATATATTGTAATATTTAATGACATTCAGTAAAATCTAATATATAAGGAACCTCTAACATAACTTAAGGTGATCAAACTGTGACTAACTTTATATCAATATTTCAGTAAACTCTTGAGTCTTCAACCCTTAACTCACAGTTGTAACTGTAGTTTACTTTGAGTCACCTTGATAGTTCCACTTAAAATAATAGGTTCAGGCACTGTATTAAAAATAAATATATCACAATATTTTATTCAAATTAATATAAAGTGGTCCAAAAATAAAATATCTTTGCTCAAACTATTGCTCTTAATTCTGAAATGAGAAAAATATATAAAGAATAATAACAGCTCTCACAGTACTCATGATCATAGAAAATTCCATGCCTTTCACAGTACCAAATTAACCCTATCGCAACAGGTCACATGTCAAGGACCATGTCATCGTGTTTGTTGACTTGCATTCAAACTTTATTGAACTACTATTTTATAAATTTATGTCAATAAGTTTGGTATAAAATTGCAGATTATAATTGAAATTTTAGTATTATACATTTGTTAATTTCTTAATTTAAAAGTAAATATTAAAAAAACAAAACACAGCTAAACATCAATTTTTGTGTCACGTGGTATGTTGAATGAAGCACTCATTCAAATTAGATGTTTGTGATGTCAAAATACAAAGTCTGTAGTTTTGTATAAATTAGGAACTCAAACTACTGATACTGACAAGCTAGAATATAAAATAAGAACTTATCTTTTCTATTTGCTAAGATATTGATTATGTAATAAATCAAACACAGTGGTACCCCACCCACCTCTTTCCATTTTTGGAAATGATCCCTTTTATACCTTAACTTCTATATATGACATGAATAACCAATCAAAAGCTCAGAACGTCCCCCTAATGGTTTTCTCAGCCATTTTTAAAGTGTTATTGTGTTAATCTCGTTCTTTTCACAAAAGAATTCAAAAGATAAGGCAAGTCTTTAGTGAGCTCAAAATTTCATATTTCTTTTAGACCCAAATACAAAATATAGCTCAGTTACTATGCTTTATAAATTATAGTGGAATTCTATAATATCAATATAGTAATTAATGATTTTTTGGTTATTTAAAATGTATATATAAAACCTAAAAAAAAATTATTTCGTTTCACATCTTCTATGTGGGAAATTTCATAAGGCTGAACAAGCAGCAAATGAGTACAAAGGTTGTAACTAGAAGATATAATTATTTGCTTTACATATTTAGTTACTGTTCTGTGTTTTAAGAAAAATAAGTTTAAGCCATTATTTGTAAATAGTAATAATGTATATACATATATTATGTATAATAATTGAAATGTGACTGCACTTTAAAATATACTAGTCCACTGAAACACAGTCAAGTCACATCACTTTGTAAAGACTAAAGATCAGTTTCATATTATTGGATATGGTATCATGAGTGCATATGCACCATATCATTGTAACTTTTGTATTGTTAGCCAGGCATGGCTGGAAGGTCAATATAATAAAAATGATAATATAAATGTATAATGTTACGAGATTTCAGTTATTTAGACTAAAAATGTGTTTTTGTGTTATAATATGTTGTCATTCTAGAACAAAAAAAGCATAATATAAATTTATTTCCTAATTTTTTTTATGGTGGGTACAAGGCCAGTTAAATGGATCGACCCCATAGAGTTAAGATAGAGAGATTAACAGAAAAAATATAAAGTTTTATTGAAAACAAATGTTTGAAGTGTGTTTAGGAGGCTTTAGAGATTGCACAAATAATATTTGAAATTTTTGGGATGAACAATAGTTTTTTAGTTATAACATGAAAATCACTTCATACTTGGACTGGTAACGAAACATACTCGATATTTTCACAAACAAATCTATAATAAAAAATACTTCATTAAAAATCTGATTTTTTGTGTAGGAAAAACTTGTAATCTTTACTAAAAGTCTACCAAATTTTGTGAAGATTCACTTACTGCTTTAAATCTTATAGCATAGATATTAATCTTGTGTATATTATACCAAGCCCATCATCTAAGGGTTAATGGTCAATGTAAGTTGGTTGTGACTGTTCACTTTAGTTTTTTTTTTTTTTTTTTTTTAATATA